CCAAACTATAAGCCGCGTGGCTCGTGGATACCTGCCGGTTGTGAGCTCAAAATATCTATGGATCACATATCGGAGTCCATGGAAACGAAATGGCAGACCAAGCTGCCAAACGTGGACTCCACTCAAAAAACAAATTAAAAATACCTTCTTCCAAAACAGTGAGTGAGTTAAAACTTGTCGTCACATCGTCAAATTTTCAGCCATATCGTGACGAGAACAATTAATCTTATACATAGTAAGTAACCATTAGTAACCATAAGACTTAAAGGCATATATCTTCAAACATGGTGTGAGAAAATATCTTTGTCAAGAAAATGGTTTTACTATTCAAAATTTAAAAAAAGATCTATTCAATGAAATATACTTATCATGTGTTAATATAAAGAAATTTAGGCGATCACTAGCAAGATTCCGATGTTCATCTCACGATTTGTTGATTGAAAGCGGCAGATATAAAAATGTTAAAAGAGAAGAGAGAATATGTACACTTTGTCGTTTAAATGAAATTGAAGATGAATATCACTTTCTCCCCATCTGTCCATCATATTATTCAATACGTTGTAAATACATTAAAAGATACACTCTCTCAAAAAAGAAACGCAACCCCTATCTAAATATCTGACATCATTTCTAGAATAAAGATGGTGAATGTAAATTAGAATTTTCTTCAAAATACTGTTAATACGTTCCCATCTGATCAGTATAAGCTCCCAAACGGAACCATTTTCACACATGATGACCTTTGTATCCGTGTTATTTGAGAAAGTGCGAAATTGTCATGTACAAAATGCTAAAAAGCCTGTTGCACGTGCAAATCGTTGAAAACACAGTTCATGTAGAGGGTTTTAAAAGCACGCGTAGTTTGTAATTTTTCTCTCATAATTTGCTCTGCAAATCAAGTTCGAGAATGCCCCGTTTGAGTACAGCAAATCGAAATATTGCCATTGGTCGCATTGAGGCCGGGGAAAGCTTTGGAACAGTTGCCCGTCATCTAAACGTACACAAAACAACAATCTCACGACTTTGGAATCGTTACACACAGTTCCATGCAATTGAAGATCGTCCCAGGAGCGGTAGACCTAGGATCACCACACCGGCTCAGGATCGCTTTATTCGACTCAGCCACCTACGTAATCGGCATGCCACACCCACCATCACTGCAACACAGGTGCCAGGTTTGAGGAGAGTATCGGCCCAAACCATCAGGAACCGTTTACATGAGGCAAATTTACGTGCAAGAAGACCAGTTGTTGGGCCCGTCTTGAAACGCCAACATCGACGCCAACGTCTCAGGTGGTGTACTAACGTAAGGAGATGGACCCTAAAAAAACTGGAGAAGAGTCTGGTTTAGTGACGAGTCTCGTTTTCTTCTTCAACGACGTGACGGTAGACAACGTGTCTATAGACGAGCAAATGAACGTTTTGCACCGAACTGCGTTCGACAGGTCGAAAGATTTGGAGGAGGAAGCATCATGGTATGGGGAGCCATGTCTTACAACCAACGGTCAGACTTGGTCATCATTCGTGGCAATTTGACGGCACAACGGTACATTGATGACGTCTTACAGCCACATCTTCTGCCGATAATCGACCAACAGAGGGAGTTGTTTCAACATGACAATGCCCGCCCTCATACAGCTCGTGCAACAGTGGCATTCCTACAGAATTCAAACGTCAACGTGATGCCGTGGCCCTCCAGATCGCCAGACATCAATCCTATCGAACATCTGTGGGACCAGCTGGATCGTCGTGTTCGTGCACGTACACCACAACCGCACACGTTGGTTGAACTGGCCGCAGCACTCCAGGAAGAGTGGAGAGCAATCCCCCAGGAAAACATCCGCCGTCTGATTCGTTCTGTTCCGAGGAGGTGCACTGCTGTGATTAGAGCTCGTGGCTCTACAACGAGATACTGAAGACAACGCCCCCTAGCGTAAATTGAGAGTTCGATACTGACCTGCATTAACTGTTACCTTATACCGTGCTGACCTAAGGTTCACCATGTCAAATTCCATGGCATTATCTTTAAAAATACAAATGTAATAACCAGTTAAAATTGATATAAACATTACCCAAAAAAACAGGGGTTGCGTTTCTTTTTTGAGAGAGTGTATTACTAAATCCATCCAAGCATCATAAAATTATCTACCCTTATAAGCAGTAAAAATCAAAATATATTACAAAATCTTGCCATGTTCATCCATATTGCAATGTTGTATAGAACAAAAGTTTTATCACTGTAATGTAAATATATTTATTTATGTAATTCCCCATTATATATGTATATGTACTATAGGCCTGTGGCCTCTTCAGTACGAAATAAAGATTGAATTGAATTGAATTGAATTGAAGTAATGGTAAAATGGTAAAAAACCTGTCAACGAAGGACAGTTAAATAACTACATTATCACAGATTAGAGTTTAAAACTAGTACTTAAATCTAAAACAGTTAAACTATAGATGACAATACAAGGTAACAACAGGCTATATATTGCCAATAACTGAAGGTAGATCACCATAATAGGGACCATGGGGACTTACAGTACATTTGCTTCCTGCATGGACCCTAGCTGGATTTACACCATCCCTTTAGCCACTAGCAATTTTAGATAATCTAGTCACAAATTCAACGAACATATATTCTACGTTTAAAATGGTAGTATGTTTAAATTAACTTTGAAAGTTTTGGGACTTACGTACCCTCTCAGGAGGACAATAATTTTACAGTACTTAAACCACCTTTGAGGGTACAGCCACTGACAATCTAAGTTACTAAGTTCAACTACATATCATTAAAATACATCTATCTACAGACATATTAATCAAAATTCATTAATTTAATCAATTTCTTTTAAAAAACCAAGAATTAAATGAAAATGAACAGCATTAAAAAAGAACAATTAAGAAATTAATATAAAACTTACAAATCCTTATTTACAGATGGATCTAAGGATGGTGGCACAGTTGCTTGTGCCACTGTCATTGGATCCTAAACAATATATTCTCGATTGCTTGATAATAGCACTATCTTTACAGCTGAAGCAACTGCCATATTAACAACCTTAAAATATTAATAAACCACCTGAACATAAACAATACATTATCTTTTTGCGACTCTCTTTCGTGCCTTCAGGCTATTAAAAATGTGTCTTCTCAACATCCACCTTTAATAGAAATCATTGAATTATATGAAAACTAATTAAAACTAGGTGTTTGCACCTATTCATGTGGCCACCATCTGGTCATATACCAACAGATTCGTGGGTTCTTTTAAGTGCACAGGGTTGTGTAGTGTACACTGAAAGAGTCTGCACGCAAAGTTTACTCGAAGGTTTATACACCCGGTCGCAGGTGGGCTCGATCCCGGCACCTCAAGCCCACTGGATCACTTGCCTGGCGCCTTAGCCAGCCCGCCCATCATGTCCCAACTTTAAATGTTAACTCTCTCACTCACTCCAATATCACGGTGGGTGACACCAGAAATGGGCTTCATGTATCGTACCAATGTGGGAAATCGAACCTAGGTCTTCGGCGTGACGAGCAAACGTTATAGCGACAAGGCTACCCACCGTCCAGGGACGTGAACAGTATCCATTGGTATTATTTGAAATTAGACAGTGGTCACTGAAGATATTTTATCGCTCTGCTTAGGAAACAGGGATCTGTAAATATGTTCTACCACAAATTCACTGCAAAAGCTTTACCTGGAATTATAACATATTTCATTTTTGCACTGTTAAATTTCAACGCACCTTTTTCTTGGGAGCGTTTGAGTGAATAACGCCACAAAAGGGAGTCGTTTAGCTTTTGGCAGTTGTTGTTCCCCAAGAAATAATCATTCCCAAAGTTTCGTGAGTAAAATTGAGATGGGTGTACCGTTATCTTCCAAATTGTTCTCGTTATTGATGAAATGTCACACACCTAAATTTTAATCCCTTCTTTCAGTCATGGTTCAATTTTTATAATGTTTTCATTGTAAGCTGATCAACATGTATTCATGACATTGACTTAATGCTTGATGGAGGTGGAAAGGCTACCATAATACTATAACACGTGCGTGAGCATATGTGCGTCTGCACATCCATGGATATTGCACGAGCGATATGCAGTGGGATCACTAATTTGGCATTACCTTCCTCCATTATCCATAAATGGAGACACGGAAGTGACAGGAGGTATCTGTATAAGGTATAAGGTGAATTGCATCGTCTCCAAACCTCCAGATTATTTGTATAAACATGGTCCTCGGAATGGTGATCTACCTTCAGTTTTAGCGATCTAAAGCCCGTTTTTATATTGTGTTGTCCTCTACAATTAAAATGTTTTAGATTTAATTACTAGTTTAAAATTTTATCTGTGATATTCTGGTTGTTTTACTTTCCTTCGTTGACAGGCTTTTTCTAATTTACCCATAATTGTTATTAATATGTAACTTGATATAGTTACGATATGGCTGAAATACTGCCGATGTGACTTAAAATCTTAACTCACTCACTCACTGTTTGTATAAACGATACCTTTAAAAACAAACATAAATCATATAACTTTGAGTTACGTGCGAAGAAATTCAGTAATCGAAAAGTAAAACAACTTTCTGCATGTAGATTAAAGCATTTTGCGAACACAAATATGTATACTATGCAAATGTTTAGTTATTGACTGAAGGCAGGATTCATGTATTCAAGAACTCCAGTGCACTGAAACATCTGGCTTATTGCGGAACATCTCATATTGTAAAAGATATCGGCTAAAAGATATCTCCATAAACCGGAAAAGAGTAATAATATATAGAATAATCTTAAAACATGCGTCCAGTGGAAGGAATAGTGTGTGGATGGAACAAAACGGATAGCAGATGCTTTATACCTCTGTATTTACATGAATAAAAGCCTGATTCTATTGTAATATTTACAATGGTGTTTGCATATGAACACAACAAAATATAAAATGTTTATCTATTTTATGTTTGGTAAAGGACGACCTCTGTCAAGTAGATGTACACGAGTGTGGTAAATCAGATACTCCAGCTCCAACATTTTGCTGCCGGCCACGTAATGGAATGAGATGGGGTAGTCACTCATGCTGCTAATACCCTGGAATGATAATAATGATGATAATAATAGTAATGATAATAATAATAGTAATAACACTGACTAAAATCTGGAACTGAGAGCTGAACGCTTGCAATATAACCAAAGCCACGGAAACTCGGAGATATTCACAGTATTGGCACCGACACGCGAAGATGCATATTGTACGGTCATTTGAACATTGATTTATTAATAGTGATTCTATGTTTTCTCGCCTCATGCATGCATTACTGAATAGCACTACCAATCCATACCCAGAAATAATCAACTCATTCCTAAAATATAGTTGCTTCTAGAAACCCTCGGAATAATGGATAATTGTCACATGCAACGTGATACCTCATTCGTTCAAATACTATTGAGACTACTCATGTATATTTTTGCATTATGACGATACATTAATTCAAATAAATACCTTTTTAGCTCCATTTGCGTCATAATCAAGGAACCATTTTGGATATATCCCATCTATGTGAGTTGCCGGTGACAAACAATGGAAGCGACTTCGACCTTTGGAATCAGTAGAGTTTCCAATAGGTATTCCAAGGGACTGCATGCATTGACCAAACGCGGCATCACCCGCAGTGCCAGTTTGACGACATATCTTGGGATCATGTCCTTGTAGACCAAACCTTCTGAGGGCCTCTTTGCTGACTACCAGTCCTGATCCGCCACTAGAGTATCCTTGTTTGATAATAGCCTTAAAGTGATGGCCGAAATATATAGGCTTGTTTGTATCGAAATCGGCCAGGAAAAGACGAAGGTTTTCTGCGATGAGGTAAGTATCGTCATCAGCTTTAAAGAACCAATCGCAGTCGTCGAAGTGATTTTCATATACATAATGGTATCCACCGAGAGTCTTTTCGGTTAGATGATTTCTCCCTTCCGATACATTTTGTCCAACTGCTGGGAAGGTCGTGTTTGTTTCTGAGCTGATGAACACCAACTTGTCACAGCGTTTACCCCACGTCATTTGGATATATCTCGATCTTTTTTCGAGATTTTGGGGGCTTGTCATAACCCAGCAAGAAATGCGTACGCGTGACGCATTGACGTTGTCCTCATAATCTGAAATACAATGAAATGAAGTTCTGAAATTCGTTTCAAAGGACGAGATAGGATGTCTCTCTTGGACTGCAAGATGTTGATTAATATGTGTCTTGAGACGAGTCATTCTCCTGCACTATACTTACGCTGCTGGATGGGGTGGCCGATTTTCTTTATTAGCCGAGTAGAAGTTCTCATTGCTGCTCCAACTAAAGGTGTAAGGTTTGGACCTCTTCACGTGTATACATTTGAGCAATTAGTTCAGTATTTTGATTGTTTTCTTTAAATGTTGCCTTCGCCTGGTAAGCACTTGTGTACAGTAATACAGCTTATAATTTGCTTCACTGTGCCCAGACTACATATCTACTGCAAGAAAACAAGGTGTCACCAAGTTTAGGTTGGGCGTTTCTTCAGAGTTTCATTGGGAACGTTAAGACGAAATTTTCAATTTACTCTGGAAATGAGTTTGCATGTTCGTCACAATCAGCGATATTCCAGCTATATGGCTGCGGTCTGTAAATAATCGAGTCTGGACCAGACAATCCGGTAATCAACAGCATGAGCATCGATCAACGCAGTTGGTAAAAGCAGTGGATATAATAACGGTCGTTTCAAGTGACAATGAGGTTGAGACAAACAAACTCTGATCTACCACTACTGAACATTAACCTGGACTATGGCTGTTTTATGTATGGTTGAGCCCATAAATCGTATATTTCAGAGCTCAACACTATTCATCATCAAGGTATCGGAGTGTGTCTGGCCGCATTTATAATTTTATTTATAACCCCTATTGAAAGGCATTATGTTGAAGCTAATGTGCCTTGTCTTGATGCCAGTCGAATAAAACTGGCACTGCAATATGTTAGGAAACTCCATTCCAGACCGCCACTCCTGCATTTAGCTCTGGTCTTTAATCCACTTTACAAATCATTCTATGATAGGATACTGAACTCAAACTATATTCAACAACACATAGCAGCAGCAAATTTAACTTCATCTGCAATTACCGATTTCAAATTACCTGATGTGCCACATCGGAAATAAATACAGCCTGGTGTTAATTTGGAATGAACCAAATTGAAAAAGACTGATACAAACCCCTCGTCATATCAACAAGCTTTCCCAGAAACTAAACACAATATTATGGTTATAAAATAGCACTCACTGATGGATCGAAAAATGGAGACAAGGTGTTTACTGCAGCTGCTACTCATGATGATACTCTATCCATTAGATTAACAGCTAGCTGGAAGTTAACGAGTCTTAGTAACAATAATATTTCCAGATATTGTATCCTGCTTGTCAATAAACAATCATCGTAAATCTGATGGTCCCTTTTTAGTTGAAGGTTTTCATATCATGGGAATTTGTCCCAGGCTAACATTGACATCTTGGTTTGTTGGATACCAAGTCACATTGGCATTGGGGGAAATTCTAAGGCACGTTCTGTAATTAAATCTGCTTTCGCAAAGTCGATGGGGAGCACCCTGCTAATTAAGCAATGCGTCAAAAACACGTGGCAGCGAAGATGGAACAAGCAAATATCTCATAAGCTTCATGCCATACAACCCTTGATAAGCTGTCGCGCCCTTACCGATCTAAACCGTCAAGCACGGTGATCATATTCATTCATTTTAATATATTATTTCTATTTTTAATAATAATAATACATGTATATAAAACCTGACTTCCAACTAAGTAAATTGGTCATTGGCGCTGTGAGAGGTCTTTAGGAGAAAGGCTTCTCTGAAGGTAAGTTGTCAGAGAAGAGCGGAAGATCAAAGCTTGTGGAGGTTCTGTTGGAGAGAGGTAATGAGTTCCACAGATTGGGAGAAATGACTGAGGAAGATCTTTCACCCAATTATCAAGGCAGACAATTGTCAAGAGCACACCGCTATTTCCTGTAGAGTGGATATGCAGTAACATTTGTGCGCTCTTGACCAGTTTGCTTTGACATGTGAAATGTTGTTAGATCTTTTGGTCCTGAATAACAACAAGGATATACTTTCATTCTCATATGTGGAATGTCACTGTTCCATGCAACTGTATATCAAACAAGGTTATAATTTGTAATGAATGCATTCAGCCTGAATATTTCATTTTCAATTGTAGCTGTATGTGCCGACTATCCTTACGGTGTGCTTTTAATTTTTGGTATTTAGGGGCTCGTCCGTGATGTAAAAGAATTTAGAAAGCAAAATTCAAATGATGCTGACAGGGGAGGAATAATTTCAGCCATATTGTTGCATTTGATTATATGTTTTAGTTACAAACATGTCTACCAGATAATCAAAATCAACGGTCAAAATGTGTCAGAAGATTAGTTTTAAATGAGATTATTTCTGGTTTTAAACCTAACAAAGGTTATTGTATGAAAATAGATCAATTTACGAACTATTACACCCAAAGTATAATAAATTATTTATAGGAACGCATCTACTCTCCAGACAAATAGACAAAGGTCATATTTAAAATACTCACAAGTCCATTCAGCTTTCAGAACGAACCTGATTATAAGTAGATACATGTGGCATGGCCACCTGAATTAAATGTCTTCTTACCTTCGTTGTCCCTTGCACCATGTACAAACGATCTTTGTATTTTCCATTTGGCAAAGTGATGTTCAGTGCTCATATAGTTCATCCTCAATAGAGGCAACGAAGCGCATATAACAACGAATCCGAGTATCAGCTTCCTGATATTCTTCTTGATGATTGCTAGCGGCATCCCCCAAGTTTGCCTGTTCAGCGAAGAATACGTTCATCACAGGGCGAACTTAACAGATTGGATTAAGTTCGTTTTTCTGGTGAGGGCAGTCAGCGCAGCGTCGATAAATGTCCTTCTCTGATCACGACTGTCTACAAAATGTTCACTCAGTTGGGTCCGGTGTAGAGTCAGGCTTGTAACACGTAAAATCAATGTCAACAGATGTTTTGCCCTGTGTAGGCCACAAATATCATGCAGATTGTCATCTCATACTGACATAGTTTACTTCATTGCAGGTGAGAAACATACCTATATTATCTTTTCCATCCTTTTCCTGAAACACATACTGTCAAAAGGCTTTGTTAGCTTCTCATAAAATATATTAACTTGTATTATTACTTAATTCATCACACCTAAATATTTGCTACCCTGATTTCGAATTTGCAAATTTCACTGAGCACATGGTTTCCAAGCATGTGCGGGTCAATGGGTTAGCTTTGTGGCTAATGCGTTCACTCGCCACGCTGAAGCCGCGGGTTCGATCCCTCACACTGAGACACTATGTGAAGCAAATTTCTGGTTTTCCCAGCCGTGATATTACTGGAATATTGCTAAAGGTGGCGTAAACCTATACTGACTCACTCAAGCCATGTGTTATGTTCGTCAACCATGAGTTACAACCATGTGAGGGCGGTGGGGTAGCCTAATGGTTAAAGCGTCGGCTCGTCACGCTGACGACCCGGGTTCGATTCCCCACATGGGTACAATGTGTGAAGCCCATTTCTGGTGTCCCCCGCCGTGATATTGCTGGAATATTGCTAAAACGGCGTAAAACCATACTCACACACACACACACACATACAACCATGTGAGACACTCGTGAAAAGCAAAGTCTTTGTGGTGATAGCTTATAGTTCTTCCTTTGTGTGGACCCTGGGCAGCATTGATCCTCCGCACAACTCTGCTGGTCTCCAGAGGCGACTGAATTGGGAAATCTGCCTGCCGTTGGTCCCTTTGTCGGTGGAACAAGGAATCCTGGTGGTTGAAGGCAAAGGAGCCAGGAACCGTGTACCTTTCGCCCAACACAACACTTCAACACTTACTTCATACAGACGGTGGTAGAATCGGACCAGTTCTATCAATTGGCTGGTCACGCCAAGCTCTGTGCATAAATTATGCATTTTTATTATTTGAGTACAAAATGGGTTTTTACTGGTCTTTGCCAAAGTATTTATGTTATCAAAGTGAAATCTGCCTAGACTCTAATGTCAGAATGAAACGGCTCATTGGCCAATTTTGTCAAAGTTTATTGTATTTCTAACATAGTAAACAAAGTTACACACACACACACACACACACACGCACGCGCGCGCACACACACACACACACACACACACACACACACACACACACACACACACACTCTAATGCCACAAACAGATAATGCATATAAAAGAACCTTACATAAGATCGACATTCGAGAAGATCTGCCGTAATTCAGGCGTGTTGTGTTCGCCAGGTGACGTAACCAGTGCGATAGTTATTTGGGCTGCTGTATGTGCAGACATTGCTCTGGGCTGCTGTATGTGCAGACATACGATGATGTATATTGCTCTGGGCTGCTGTATGTTCAGATATACGATGATGTATATTGCTCTGGGCTGCTATATGTGCAGACATACGATGATGTATATTGCTCTGGGCTGCTGTATGTGCAGACATACGATGATGTATATTGCTCTGGGCTTCTGTATGTACCGACATACGATGATGTTTATTGCTCTGGGCTGCTGTATGTGCAGACATACGATGATGTATATTGCTCTGGGCTGCTGTATGTGCAGACATACGATGATGTATATTGCTCTGAGCTGAACAGCCGTTATAATACTAATGTAAGCTGTCGTACGTGCAGTCAGAATATAGTGCTAGGACTGAAAAGCTGTTATAGTAATGGAGCGGTTATGTTCTAGGGCAGTATGTCCACGCATGTTATTGTCAGTAAATGTTCTTCTTGTCGGTTCCGAAGTTGCAGTCTATTAATAGTGATGCAGCTTAAAATATACTTGTTAAGTATATTGTGTCAGTTACCTGTGTCCTGGATATAAATAGTGCTAACATGCCGATGGATATGTGTATTAGATCACATGTATACTGCAAAGCCTCCAGTAGTTGCCGTTTGCATTCGTTGAGGGAACACAGTTTCAGAGTATTTTCTCCAAGAGTTGTATCCCTGTTGTTTTACGTGGCGGGCAACAGCAATGTATTGTGATCAGACGTATGTGGCGAATGTAGGTTGCACTTGCATAACTATATCTCGGCTGTGAAACGCACAGCGTGGCCCACTGTTGATTGCATTGTTTTGTTGCGTAATGGATTGGTATAGAGGGACGTGACACAACTTCGTAGTGGATCACTGACCGTGCACAGAACCTTAGTTCCTTGACGAGGTATTGATGGTAACAGAGCACGTTGACTGTCCCACATGCTTGAGGAAGAAATTCAAAAGATCTAAAGCCAAGGAGTGACACAACAGTCAAGCCTTTTAGAATGAAGACATGAGGCGTCGACGTTATCCCGTGAAATACGTATGTATTTACCTTTTCACTGTCAGCCCGGTCGAATTGAAAAAAAACTGGCTTTGTCAACATCGGAGTGGTGAGTGAGTGATTTTTGTTTTACGGCGCATTTATACAGATATATCGCCCATGGACGAAAAACACCACCTTTTGCACAAACTTCATGTTTTTTCAAGTTTTGGAGGTGGTAAATAAATGAAAACATCTTCATAAGTATCTAAATTAAAATCATTTGACATAATTCGGCTAATTTAGAGCGCTATTACGATATGTATCCCATGGGCGAAAGAAATTTACTCCCCAATGGGCGAAAAAAAATTACCCATTGGCGAGCAAAATTCAATTGTGGTTTGCGAAACTATCTAAGTTTTAACTATCCTGGCTCTTTACAAGATTCATGACAACTATGTTTCATGACAACAGATTCGAATTGATTGATTGTATACGTACGATTATGAACATGTATTGGAGATCACTATATGTGTGAGGGCATTTGACATGTTCGATTTGAAATGCATCATGAACATGACAAAAGTATTGAGTTTTCCACAATAGGTAAATAGAAAGCCATATCGTGATATACAAGAAAACAAATACATCAATTTTAATGGGGTTTTTTCACAAGAATGTTACATTGTAATGTATGTGTACTTCGTATGAAAGGTCAAGGTGCATTGTATTTCTATCAAGGTTAACAGGTTATCCAATCACACACACACACACACACACACACACACACACACACACACACAATGATGCCACAAACAGATATAAGAGAACCTTACAAAATATCGATATTCAAGAATATTCATGGTCTTATTTTAGTAACTATGGTTTCCAATGGCTTCCACTGGCTTACCTAGATGAACAACAAGATATTTACAGAGTAATTTCACTGACGAAGAAAATTTATGCACATAAAATATATTGCAAGATATCGAAATGCAAGACTGTTCATGTGCATATCCTGGTAACTAAGGTATTCAATGCCTCATCTGGATAAACAACAATATATTTACAGACAACGACAATCTTTATGGATGAACAACTCCTTTACTCAGATGATGCGACGTGTCGATAAAGATTATTTTATCGTTGTCAAGCTAGTATGAATATATTTACACTCTAATTTCATATGACAAAGAAAGTTTATACACATCAAAATATCTTGGTCGTGATAACGTGTGTCACCCAGACGGAATTACCATTGACCTGTTCGATACCTCATGTAATAAAACAATCAATTCGAGATTTCGATAGAAGTTGAGAGATGTACCTAATCGTTATGCGTAGTTTTTTTCATCAAAATACCATCACGCGCACGTGTGTATCTCACAACTGGCATCACTTAATTGATCGGTGCGATCAATAGAATGTAAATATGGAAAGCAAAATACACTAAAAAAGCGTCGGTTGTTTTATTCTAATACACAGACAGGCTGACTACTTGTCGGTGGCGGGGCGGTGGGGTAGTCTAGTGGTTAAAGCGTTGGCTCGTCACGCCGAAGACCCTGGTTCGAATCCCCACATGGGTACAATGAGTGAAGCCCATTTCTGGTCTCCCCCGCCGTGATATTGCTGGAATATTGCTAAAAGCGGCGTAAAACCAAACTCAGTCAGTGAGTCAGTCTTGTCGGTGGCGCTTTGCGGAAATTACGTATCAACTGAACAGAGACAAACCAGAATGTTCTATAAATGGAGATGAAACACAATATCTTAAACATTGAAATAACAAAGAAGCCAACTACATTAACATGTTGTAGATGGCAATACCAATACTTTTATAACAATCTCGCATGAATTCGTATGATGAAAAATATCTGTTGACAATACAGCCGTAATATTTTGTTTTACCTTACGTGTAGCTAGGCACGGATTTGTCAAATAAGTCGAAACGGTAAAGCCTAATTGAAAGCAACATTTAACCGGAAGGCACATTTGAAATAGTAAAACCGATGTACGATATATCAAATGATAGAATGTGTTAAAACTGCGAATACGGGATTGGAGACTCTCTTCTTCGTGTTGATTAGGTGTGCGTTTAGTAATAATCTTATAATCTAATAAATCAGGATCTGTTTATCTCAATTCAATATACATGTCGTACATGAAGACTGCAACACTTGATTGACCATTACTCCCTGAGAACAACGATGAGAAGTATCGGAGTTGGCTTGAAACGTCTCTTATAACTTTGATATATACGACACTAAGTGCTTGATCGACATTCTAGAAGTTCTGGAAGTTGGTGAGTACAATTTTATGGATAACAACCTCTTGTTTACTGCATAAAGCGACGTTTCGACGTTCTGTGCAATAAACAAGAAGTTGTCATCTATAAAGTTGTATGTTTCATACACGAGACTGTTTAGCCGTTACTTGGTGCCAATTGTGCGACAGTTTGGGAAAATATCAGTGACATGATAGCTTAGTTATTCGGGG